CTCACTCCATCACAATGGCCAATCAAGCACAGCAAGGGAAGTGGCAAGGGGGATGGTTTAAGAATCTTGTGTCTTGTAAAGTGCTGAAGCAATGTTTGGATTAGCCTTGGAATGTGTGCTTCCCTTATTAGAGTGTCCTAGTCAGCAGAAGCTCATGTGAAGAGTGCCCAGTTGGACCCAGTTTTGAATCTTATCTCCTCCAAATACTTCCTGCTTGAGCTTCTTAGGATTAATCTCTTCAAGTCTGCTTTACTTTGTGCAAGTGAGGGTGAATTATTTTCTTATCCTGTAACATGTTCATGGCTATTTCTGAAAATAGATAGTGAAAATTTTCACACATTGTATATTTTCATGGAATGTGACTAACAGCAGCAGTTATGTCACTTTGTACTCACTTTTAAAACCACACACACAAACACAAAGTCACATAGACACCATTGGATTCCAAAATAATCCTACTCTCAGCCCAGAGAAAATGACATTATTGTAGCGGAAACCCATTTTTTTTAACTCTTCTCTTCTTGATGTGGAGGGATCCTATCCCCAAAATTCAGCTGAACTCCTATTATAACAAGATCTCCAAGTTGCTACAAGTACATAGTAACCTATACATTTTGTGGTTGTTTTTAGGGCCAAACTAGCATTCACCCTTGCTTGATATATAGAATACCTTTCTGGAAAAGGATTCAAAAAGGATGTCTTCTCAGAGCAGAACTAATTATCCTGCCACCATGTGATGATCTGTGATGAGGCTTCCTCAGAAGTCTACGTGGAATGATGTTAAGTTTATAGTTCATTAGGCACAAAGAAAAGTGAAGCTCCACATCTGAACCCCAACATAATGTGCATATGACCATGATGCTCTGTTCTCATCAAACAGGTGTGAGAGTGCTACTGATCTCATCCCACACGGGGGCGCCCATGTATAACGGCCAGCATTGGAAAGATCTCTGGGAGGGGGTGGAGGCAACACTATGGGTTTCTTCTCTACTGTGGATGAGGATCACTGATTTCCACAGAAGGGAGACTACCACCTGCTTGACTCTCACATCAGTTCATTGTAATGAATGGCTTTGGGATTGGTATCCTCCTCCATCAGTTTCTACCTTTCTCTCACCTCTCACTTGTTGCTCATAATTCTTGTCTACAGTGGAGCTGATGCTTTTTTTAAAGTAAACTTGTTTTCAGCTGATTTATACAAATAAATTCAACATATTATTGGGTTACCAAGGGATATTTCAATACATGTATGCATTGCATAATACTTAATTCAACTTAAATATATCTGCCTCCTTAAGAGTTTATTGTGAAACCACTCAACATTTATCTTCTACCTTTTTTAAAATATACACTGCATTATCCTTTTTTTTTCAGGAACATCACTTTGGTTGGGTCTTTTTATTTAGACATAACACTGGGATTCCATTTGACATTATTTAAAAGGCATGGAATATTATGTGTTCTACTTCAGTCCCCAGTTCTTCCCTTTCTCTCCACTCCTCCCTTCCCTGTTCCTTTGTCTCCACTCTGCTGAACTTTCTGCTGTTTAGTTTAGTTTTGTTTTTTTGGTTGGTGGCTTGTGGATATCAGTGATGGTGAGATAAACTGTGGTATACTCAGGAGAAAAGTAGGTCAGATTCGTTGCACTCTTCTTCCCTCATTCCCTCCCTTCTCCCACCCCTCAATCCTTTTCATAGAGTCCACCCATCTTTCTTATGTTTTGATGAAATACCCCATTTCCCTTTCTCTCTCTCTTCTTTCCACCTTATTTTGGACTAGCTTCTGCATATTAGAGAAATCATTCATCTTTCTTATGTTTTGATGAAATACC